CACCAGCTTTACCTTTTAAGCTGGGGCGAAATCCAATTCTGACCTCAAGGTAGAACACCATCCGTTAGATCCCATGTTTATGTGCACAGCAGTCTACCGCTCGCTCACTCTTTCTTTTTTGATGCATTTTTATTCGAAGTTTTCACAGTCGTTCCCGATGCGAACGAGCCCTTCAATTTTACGACATTTCCAAATTTTGAAAGCGTATTTCATCAAAGTCTGGAGGAAATACGACGAAACGGCTACAAGATCTTGAACTAGGTATGTAACTGCGCAACAACTTTGTTGTTTATTGGAATGCAGCAAAGCGGTTCTTACATAATTTAGCTCTGAATATCGGTATACGTCAAATTCTTCGAGCACAATCACTTTTCTTTTCTTTCCGAAATTGCGCTTAAGCGAAATGTATGACCAACGATTCGAATGGTTATTCCAAGAATATGACATATTGTGCCGTATAATGGCAATAATGGCTTATGAACAAACGTTAAGGTAAACTAGATAAGAGACAATACCTCACCCTTTGAAAAAAATTTACGGACAGAGAATACAGAACTAGTGTTGAAATTCATACAGTTGTACTCGGCGCGATGAATGCTATCCGATGATATATAAGTTATTACCCAAAGACTACTTTGTTTTTACTCGTTTTTTTCCTTCGTGATCGCTAGCCAATGACCAATCGCTAGCTGACCTCGTAATTACCCTACGCTGCGAGGGTCAATGCCTCGCGGTGTTATCACTCCTCTTAAGGCATGTTCGGATTCGTTGGTCATACATTTCGCTTAAGCGCAATTTCGGAAAAGAAAAGTGATTGTGCTCGAAGAATTTGACGTATACCGATATTCAGAGCTAAATTATGTAAGAACCGCTTTGCTGCATTCCAATAAACAACAAAGTTGTTGCGCAGTTACATACCTAGTTCAAGATGTAGCCGTTTCGTCGTATTTCCTCCAGACTTTGATGAAATACGCTTTCAAAATTTGGAAATGTCGTAAAATTGAAGAGCTCGTTCGCATCGGGAACGACTGTGAAACATGGATAAAAATGCATCAAAAAAGGAGGAGTGTGCGAGCGGTAGACTACTGTGCACATAAACATGGGATCTAACGAATGGTGTTCTACCTTGAGGTCAGAATTGGATTTTGCCCAGCTTAAAAGGTAAAGCTGGTGACCTACTTAACCGATCCCGACCCATAACACATCCTGGAACTCGTTGTGAGGAGACGTATCTATAGGAGTTTAAATTTTTCCGTTTCATTCGCTTTCAGCGGAGTTATGGTAGTGCGACGGTCTTTGATAGGTGCGACGGTCAATCACCGTCATTTTTTCACATTCTGTGAGCGGTATTGTAGCATTTGGATCAAGCGCATTTGCGTGGCAGTGGCGCTGCGTCCCTCTCGCACATCTGAAACTAGCATTTTTTGATATGAAACCGGATGTGCAGAGGACAAAAAGGGGTCGTATCAGAGTCCATGTTTTGGAGGGGGGTCGTAAAGAGGCGTTATTTTTCGACACGATTTCACCCTGCTTGAAACAGTGCTTTGGTGCATTTACAGGGGCACTGATACGTGCCCAATTTTGCTCGCTTACTCCGTCAAAGTGGAATGATTATGAGATTATCCCACGACAGACAACAATTTCCCGACACTTGCAAAACCTTACTACTAATTTGAGAAATCTAACTGTGATAGCATAAAAATAGCTCTAATACGTTGATATTATAACACTTCACCTCAAGGGTATAAATGACTGTGGTGGTGTTTTTTCGCTGAACAGATGGGTGTCAATCAAAAACTGCCATTTTGAGAGATGAATCTTTCTGTATTCAAAAACAAGCTTGGCAACCCGTCATTGTAATAGTGTTTTCTCGTGCGAAACGGGTTACAGTTCACTTAACAGTCGCCCGTCGGCAGCCGTCACCAAATCGACTCTCACCGTCGTTTTCGAGATTTTTTCTTGAACTATCGTACATTATCCATCTTCTGGCCTCGTTTCCTTCATGTTTAGAATCAACTTTGATTCTAGTTTACTGACTTTCAATGGTCCTAAATTTTCTTTTCAATGCAGACTTTCGACCTTCAAAACGTCCAAGATTTTGTTCGAAACTTTAAGATTCAAAATCTGCTTTGGAAAATTATAAAAAAATTTAAATTGAATTTAAATGAATTTAAATTTTTTAAATTTCTTTGTAGTACATACTTTACTTTGGTCGAGGATGACCAGCCAGTTGTTAACTATTTTGCAACAATTATACTTATCCTCAGTATCTCCCTAAAACCCAGTCCTCTTAGCAAAGTCCGGTAGTTCTAAGCACCTATGAGTTATACTTACTTTCCTGCAAGTGTAAACGGCCATCTTTAAAGTCCTTGGACATTCACACCTGCGCCTACATCCGCACTGCAAAAGGTATGTGAAGGCTGGTCAGTAGTGTTTTCAGCTATCTGCCGTAGCATTTCCCAGCTTCTGTAGCCGAAAGAAAATCGCCCTCTATTGGAATCATGGTTGATGGCTTGTGCTTTATGAGCTCAAGAATCCGTCACTGCAGCAGATACGGCAGGAACGGCACCAACTGACTATCGTTTGTCTGTGTCGCTATTTAAAGGAGGAATTCACGATTAGAATGAAGGTC